TCTTTTTAAGTGACTTTTAGTAGACACTGAGTTTGATATATCTGACTCGTGGTATGAAGTTGTGTATTAAGTTATTTATTTGTGAATTATATATTTTAAAATCAAGTATATTAAAACACGTCTACCAAAAATATCCAATGTTTTTACGTAAATACTGTGTAACGAAAAGTATAGTTTTTATTCCTCTTTATAACCAGTATTGTACGGTTATATCTGCGTTTGGTTTTGCTGCACGTTCATTTTTAAGTTGTAATTGCGTCGATGGCGATCCACGAACTACTGGAATACGTCTGCTCTGCAGGGTAATGACGTTTACAGAGGCTTCTGTCTGCGGTTTGTGGTTTATGCGATACTGATCTATCTGCTATCGGAGAATCATTGCTCCACTTCGTGTTGCAATTAGGCGACTCAATACTTGGGCGTTCTCATCGGAGGGAATACGTGAACATTCTCTTCTTCGTCTTCCAGCTTTCGAATTCGTCTAGCGTCACTGAGATCCGGGGAAGGAATTTTAGGAATGTCAGATATTCCAACTTGGCGTGTTATCAATGGTAAAACATAAATTAAAATCTACCATACTCCCTGAACATAGCAAGACGAAAAGTGGTTTAGGACGTAAGTTGGAGGATGTATTCGGTGTATGACCAAATTGGACCCTTTGGGCATCTTTGTTCATGTGGAAAATCAATAACCCCACCTCCCATCTCTGTTTTCTTGTTCAGAAAAGTCTGTTCTAGTTTGCATACAACTCAAATTATCCCTCAAACATTGGATGGCTATACACGTTAGATACCATAGAGTAGGCCTATACAAAATATCTATATTCTTCCGTTTGCTTCTTTTTAACATACACCACTGTCTCAAACAATGCTTTTGTTTTGCGTTGTATGATACTGGAACATTACAGCACGAATTTTATTTCCTAGTTTCAAAATTGGTGACTCAATTGTACTCATTCCTTTTCATAACAATTTTATTTTTACCTAGTGCTACTTGTTTACACAAACAAGATTCGCAGTTCGAGCTATGGCGATAAATTTATTGAATCGCGTATAAAGAAAGTGCATAATTGTCAGCCATGACAGTATACTCGTTAAATCTGGTACAGAGGAAATATAACTTCCTAATTCTACAAAAACCGTGTCGGTCTACATCAGATGGAGAAATTGTCACTACTTTAATCTAAGAGAAAATAATTATGGCAGATATGGAAGATGATGGAGGCAGCAAGGATCTTTAAAAGTTTGGTTAACTACCAGAGTACGCGGCCTTACAACCCATTATACATCCGTCTTCGTATTCACCCCCGTGAGAAACTCAAATCCTACGTAGTTATGTCAGTTTATAGGCTTTTCATTTTTAGTAAAAGATACGTCACTACCTAATTAGAGAAAACTGCATTAAGATTTAAGACTTACTGTTAGTAATTTATTCTAGAATAACCGAGAAGTTCTCAGCAAACATTACATTTGTAAAGTAAATTAAATCAAAACTAAAATATCTTTTGTAGGGTCTCGGAGCCGATGTGTGTGTTCTCGGAAGATAAATAACCTGCCTTTCCGGGAATTGATTTCAGGTCGTTCAGTTAAGTTATTTCACTGACTGAAATGCTGTACTGAAAAAGAACACTTCCTGATTCCAACATTTCTAAGTTGTTGTGATGGTGTAATAATTGCATATGATTTGGAAGAAATGCCAACTCTTAGTAATCGAATCTACATTAAGCCAGTTAAGATTACGTTTTGATTATTATTGTTCGAGTTAAGAATTCGTTTCATCAAATGTAACCCAACAATTCGTCTGTAAGTTCACTGAGTTACTTAGTTGTCCATCGAGAGAATTTAAATTTATATTATGGAATTTATTTACAATAATTGCTTAATTATAAAAGTGCAACAACTTTTAACATTATTGTAATTGCATTGCTATTTGACTTGTAACTTAATCTCTTTTAAATGGATGGAAATTTACCTACAGACCATCTGTACGCATCCGTGTTGTGATGCTTATGCAGAGACGACTCTATCTTTCACTATATATTCAGATTTATTGGCAATTCTCCTTAAATCAGTGAAAAGGTTCATTGGTTACTACGGACATCTGCAGGTTTTTGTTAGTTTTGAAACTACGTAAATATTGCTTATTTTTAATCGAATCCCAAACTTCCTCTGTAGTTCGTAGGTAATGAAGTGTGTCTGTGCATGTAGGTTTCCTTCTTTACTTTGATTCCATTTTTGTTATGTGCCAAATAGTCGGTATTGTGTGTAACTAACTACGGATTAGACGGCCGGGATTCGAGGCAGTGAATTTTTATCGTAATGTTTTGAACCCTTCGGTATCTGCTT